TTGAACTTCAGCAAATTGTCTTCACCACGTCTAGATGCCTAAATGCATTGACTTGCTGCCATGTGATTGGGTGATTAGCAATTTGTGTTACCAAGCAATTGAACAGGTGTACCTAATAAAGTGGCTGGTGAGTGTCTATGTACTTGTAGCAGTTGACTGCATTCACTTCACTGAGTTGCTCTTGTCACTTGGCAATCTCATCATACTTTCGACACGGCAAAACGTTTTGTTCTTGCATTTGTGATGTAAATTTTGCTTTATTGTTTTTTGTGACTGTAATGATATTGTTGGAACTTGTGTGTTTTTTGTATGGAAATGTTTTTTTTTATGTTTGTTACCTTGTTAACTTTTTAAATAAAAGAATTAAAAAAAAAATACTTTCGACACGGACTTCTAAAATGTTGATGCAAAGGATTAACAGAAGGTGAAAATTCTGTTCCAGGTTCCTTTCAGTACTGACCACGTGTGAGAAGGCCTGAGTACATGATCACAACCTCTGTTGGAGAAAACTGAGGATCTAAACTGCGATCCTTCCCTTTAGCAGACACCATATGACCAAGTACCTGAGCCTGCAGACAGTATTTCAGCCCTTCTTTGACTCTTTATTCATCCGGCAGAGCTGTTAACAAACGAACGGCAGGAATTTTCCTTTCCATTACTGGAGAAGGTAAGGAACTGTGGCTGCATTTGTCATCCACTTGGAATGGGGAGTGACATTTTGAAAAGAGCAATAGGATATCAGTACAGCAAACACTGATATTTCAGTTTCTGATATATGCTAGAGATGTTGAACCACCTCTTATGTCTCTATTGGTGAGATCTCTGTGTTGAGTTAAAGGATGATTTTCCTAAAAACATAAATAAATAAATGCCCATTTTTTTTGTAGGTGAAAAAATGTGTATTTACTCATTTTTTTTTTTTTGAGCCTGGAAAGCATTGTACCAGCGATCAGCAGATCACTGATGCCATGCAGGACTCCTGCAAACTGTCAGTGTATCTACTTGGCAGTACATCCCATACAGGCAAGCAGATACAGACAGGAACTCAATGAACTACCACAGCACTCTACAGTGCTCTGGTAGTTCACTCAGAACTACAAGCCAACAGCTGCAAAGGCTATCAGAACTTGTAGTTCATTCATTCATTCACAGAACTCTGTGAATAAATGATGTAACCATGTGGGTGAAGCCCTGCATAGCCATGCTGTTTTCAAAAACTGATGACTATTTTCAAAAACCAACATGCTGTCACAGGGAGGGGGAGGGGCAGCAACAGTGGGAAAATGTTACCCCTAAAAAACGGGTAAAACATGTAACATGTTCCCAAAGGTGAACTTATCCTTTTAAGATAAGTACATTTGATAAAGCCATTATCAAGGTCTCCTATTTTCCCTGCTGACATATTTATTTATTATCTTATATTATGAAGACCACAAAAGTGGAGCCACCCCAAGGCAGGCAAGAGTACCCAATAGTTTAAGGTGGGTTGGAACATCCCCAAAAACTCAGGAAAGGAACAAAGGAAAATCTGCTTATTGAAGTCTCCAAGGCATATAATAAAGCTGTAGTTAATCTGCTTATATTTTGCCTTCCCTGGTTCCTCTTTCTCCCCCCCCCAACATGCTCATGCAATGTTTGTATAAAACTTTTCTATTTTCATTACATCCCTTATTTTATGGATCTAGGGCTTTACTGTCGGTTCACTCTGAATTTGACTTTGAAACAACTGCACTTGAAGTCGCAGAATTTCAAAGCCGCATGTCATTGCACTTGGCTGACATCTGTGCGACTTTATGCACAGATGTCTATGCAAATAACACCTAAAATTGCAAAAAATAGTGAAGGAATCCTCTTTTCAAATTGGTGTGGCACCACAAAGGTTGAATCGCACCAACTTGAAAGGTTCCATTGCGGACAATAGGGTATGACCTGTCATGCAATTTGAAACTGTTGCACCAGTGTGAACCAGGGCTTCTGGGCTTCTCTCTGCAATGCAGGCATATTATTGCAGGTGGCTTCACATAGCTTCCTGGATACCTCACAGCACCCTGCCTCAGTACTCCTTTCCAGAGCCCTCAGTTATGCAAATATCAAAATGCCTTGACAGATGTATATAGCAATTTGGAGGTGTGGGCATTAATAGGCAGGTAGATCCTTTGTTTCATCGTACCAGAGAATACAAGATAAGATCTTAGTGGTCACTTTGAGCCATATCTATAGTCTATTTCTTGCTACCCAAAAGCCCTAATTTTCCATGCTGTAGTACCACTGTTTTATATCCCTTTTTGCTCCCCAGGATATTGAAAATATTATTACAGACAGATTATGACAAAATTCTGTGGCTTTCCTACGTTCGGAACGGAATTTATTATCAGACAAAAAAAATAATTCAACAAACGTGTCCGGTCCAGCTATAACACACAATCTCCCTATTTTATTTAATCAGAACAAAAAAAGTATATGAATTCATCAATCAGCTGTCACCATTACCTGTCATTGGACAGTAGCGGTATAGATAGTGCTCTTGTTCACACACAACAAATTGAGCTTCCTTTCCACATTTTTTCAGCTCAGTCTTTTCTGTCTCAGGAATGTACAATGACCATGAACAGGTAAAAAATGACAGAGTATGTGTAGTACAAAAAAAATAGTACATAAATAGATTAATAGATGTATTGAAATGTGTTTGGAGGTGGGTGCACATTGCATGGTCCTGAAATGTTGTGGCTCAGTAATGACAGTTGGATTGATATAATAGGATATAAAATAGTAATAATTTATCCCTAGTCCTCGTAGTCCCTGAAACTAGGGAAATTTTTTGTGGGTTTGTTATATTTAAAACATGGCAACAAATACAGATCCAACCACTTGTTCTAGAGGCAGGAATTGGTTCTGAAGGTTTCTCACCAAGTAACACCTTCTGTCTGGTATAGAGAAATCATAATTCCTGCTTTTATGAGTGGAATTTGACTCCTACTAGATATCTGTTATCTGTTTACAATTAATACACTGGGCTTTAAAATATATAGAAGCTTCCCTGACTGTTGGTCAAGAAGTGCATTAGCATCTGATCAGCCATATTGGAAATTACCATATGTGTAGTCCCTGTCTCGTTACCCTGCCAGGCTGTGATGTAACTCCACAGCGTTGTGCTTACTGATGGCTAGATTCCTAGTCTTTGATACTTGTTATCTTTTGGCGACGGCTCTGGTCAGAGTCGGGAGCTGTGTTAAATTTTTGTTTTACATATTTTAGGGGTAGTTTATAAAATGTTTGATTCCCCACCTAAATGAGAGAACCATGGCTTGTTGTACTCCATTGATCAAAGTGCTTTGTACAATCGTGAGGTCCTCTCTTTTTTTTCATATAAATATAAAACTAAATAAATATCTCACGAGAGAGGCTCACTCCCTTATTCAAGGCTTCAAGAATTCCGAAGTCTCTTGTCATACACCACAACCAAATACCACCCCAACTGTTAATCCTCTTTCCTTCCCCATTATGTTTCACATAAGGCCCCTGGTTGCCTCGGGCAAGTCACACGTGTGTCTGCATCCTCCTCTGAAGCGGCCGGCTGGGGTCAGAGTTTTGAGAGGATGATTGGGAATAATGGGAGGAAGATGCTGAGGCTTTGCTGGACTTGTCGAACTGGACATATCCGTCTTGTTTCCCGCTGCTGCTGACGCTGCTGTCACACTGAGTGTCCAGGAAGGAACTGCTATCACTCATGGATCCTCTCTGGAACTCACGTTCACACAACTCAATAGAGCTGCTGCCCATACCGAGGACAAATCGCTGACTATAATCATATAATCGGTTCTGTCCGCTCAGGGTGCTGTAGATGTTGGTAAAGGACATGCCTGTAGGAACCCTTTGCTTGTTGGCCGGTCGGATATCCGATTGACAGTTGGATAAAGAGATGGTTGGAGTTGAGTGGTGGTCTTTGAATGTATTCACACTGTAGTATCCATTGGTGGGGTCCTGAAAGAAAAATAGAAACCTAAAAATGCTGAATTAAAGTGATGGAAGATTTTCATGACCTAAATATAATTAATTCACCAGCTCCTGTATAAGGCAGACCTGTCTTTGAGGATATAAAGGGAAGCTAATAAAGTAAAAGCAGCACTGTAGTTTGTTTCGTCAAAACTGGGGAAGGCGAATGCAAATAGCAAATCTCTTATTCCATGTCTGAGCTCTGACACTCCTCCAACACTCCCTCAGTATGCCTCAGTGTAATGTACATGACTTTAGCATACCAAGACAGAGTGGGCATGGCCTGCTTTATGTCTTCATCCAGGACAACAGAAATAAACAGAAACTAAATAGTGTATGTTGCCCACCAGTCAAATCCCATATCTAATTTTCTTTCCCTGTTTAGAAAACAAAAATCTGGCATCTAGTTGGTAGCCATTAAGCAATGCAGACATTTCCTACCCTGCAGTTCAGTGGAAAAAAAACAATGCAGTGGCACTTGTACAAACCAAGATATCACAGACAGCAACTTTTTAATAGCATTGTATTGATTTTTTTTTAACCACTTGCCTACCGGGCACTTATACCCCCTTCTTTACCAGGCCAATTTTCAGCTTTCGGCGCTGTCGCACTTTGACAATTGCGCGGTCATGCAAGATTGTACCCATATGAAATTTTGATAATTTTTTTCTCACAAATAGAGCTTTATTTTGGTGGTATTTAATCGCCGCTGGGCACTTTACTTTTTGCGCTATAAACAAAAAAATTGCAAAAAAATTTGAAAAAAAAGTTTCTTTAATTCTATTATAACATTTTTCAAACAGGTAATTTTTTTCCTTCACTGATGTGCGTTGATGAGGCAGCACTGATGGGCACTGATAGGCAGCACTGAAGGGCACTGATAAGCAGCACTGATAGGCAGCACTAGTGAGGTGGTACGGATTGGCGGCACTGATAGGCAGCACTAATGAGGTGTCACGGATAGGCGGCACTGATAGGCGACACTGATAATGGGTACTGATAGACAGCACTGATAGGTGGCACTGACTGGCATCACTGCTGGGCACTGCTGGCGGCACACTGACTGGCACAACCGCTGGGCACTGACTGGCAGCACTGCTGGGCTGCACTGATGGGCACTGGTGGGTGGCACTGGTGGGCACAGGTGGGTGGGCACAGGTGCGTGGCACTACTGGGCACAGGTAGGTGGCACTTCTGGGCACAGGTGGTGACACTGGTGGGGGCACAGGTGGGCGCACTGCTGGGCACAGGTGGGCAGAACTTGTGGGTGGCACTGCTGGGCACCGATCATCAGGGCACTGATGATCAGTGCCCTGATGATCGGTGCCGATCCCTGCTCTGACAACTGCCGGTTCTCGGCAGTACTTTCCTCACTATCTGACAGTGCGAGGAAAGTGCAGCCGAGAACCTGCAATTGCATTTCCCTGTGATCAGAGTGTCGTTGGACATGGCTGATCACATGGTAAAAGGCCGCTGTGATTGGCCTTTTACCACATCATGTGATCAGCTGTGTCCGTAGGACACAGCGATCACGGAGATCGCCGGGTGCGCGCCCCCAGGGGCGCGCAGGAGAGCGCGTTCTGGGAGGATGTCATATGATGTCCACCCAGAACTGGCCGGCCGCAGTGCAGCCGTCATTCGGCTATCTGCGCTCGGCAAGTAGTTAAAGGAGGTCCACTGGTCTTCAAATCACGTCTTCTATGTAACCTGCTTGAATTAAACGCCTTAATGTCACACAAGCAGATTAAACATATTTCAGTTCTTTTGGTTTGTAAGCAGAAAAACAGTCAAGGTTGCTATACGAGGTATATATGATTATTTAGGAGTAAATGAGAGATAATCCTGCAAAAGCTTAAATGATAAATGTACTTTTATATTGCACTTATATTTTAAAGAGTAGATGTCAAGTACAGAGAGGGTGATAAAAGTCATTAAGGGTATTACTGCATATCAATACCATTTGAAAAATCTTTCCTACGAAATTTGGAGTTCAACCACTTCACTTCCAGTTATGTCTTTTAGGAGGTCACTAAGGGCAGCTGCATGACAATAATGAATGCTGGGAGCGGGATGCATCATGCTTGAGCTTCAACTTGATGTCAACCCAAGCTTTAGATACCACTCAAGATACATGTTTTGGGGATGCCACAACATACTCTATTCAAGAGCTACAACTGCCAGAAGAACCTTAGCACTCAACATTTCTGGGAGTCTTGGATGCCTTCACGTTCCTCTGCATGTTTTGGTTCATTCTTTTGACTCCCTACATCACTGCTGTGCCTTGTAGAGATGTAGGGGTTGGTGTTAAGACTTTCAGCATGCAGTAGAGGCCAAGCAGAAAGTGTTGAATCTGAAACTTCGTCAGGTATCTGTAGTAAAGAGATCACCTGGAGAATGGGCGATGGAACAGGTGACTATAAACCCTCTTCTATTGTAGGTCTGGCTTTGTTATTTTAAAGGATAACTTAAAAAATAAAATAAATGTACAACTATTTGCAGGTAAAAAAATGTGCATTAATATTTTTTTTTAACTAGGAGCTTAGAAAGCATTGCGGGTGCTATGCAGGACTCCTGCCAACTTGTCAGTGTCTGTCGTCTGCTCATACATTATATGGGGGCAAGTAGATACACACTGACAGGAATAATGGATCTACCACAGCACTCAACAGCACCGAGGTAGTTCATTGAAAAATTCAAATGCTGTCGGTGCCTACAGGTTTCCATTCATAGAACTCTGTGAATGAATGATGTGGATGGAGCCCCACACGGTTGCGGTTTTTATATTTTAAATGGCAACAGCTAGCGAGGGGAGACGATCCCCTGCTAGCTGTAACTAGGTGCAGCTGAATGGGTAGCAGCTCCAGGAGTGGGAACATGTTGGGATGAACTTATCCTTTAACTCAGTGACAGAGTTGCATTAATACCATCTCAGGGCAAATACTAACCCCCTTCCATCCACCATGACCCATCCTGCAGATTTTTTATTTTTTTTGTTCTTTACCTTGTAATACTAGTTTCCCTTACCTAAGTCAGTGGTCTTGGTTCCTCTCCAATGCTGTTTCCAGGTGCAAAGGTCCACTAATCCAGCGCTGCAGATGCACCCATGCTGACAGTGTCCAAGTCATGAATATATAATTTTTTAAGCCAGCGATCAGTTAGAGGGTGGTGAGAGGGAGGGGAGGGTCAATACTTGCCCAGAGATTGGATTTAAATATGCTTCTCTTCATTATCTAATAAAGTGGGAAGTTGTGTATATTTTAAAATGTATGAAAAACGTACCAGCCAGGCACAGATCAGTTCAGGGTGTCATTCAAAGTAAATGTAAAAGCAAAACATAGTTTTGGATAGAGTAGCGAAGGGCTAGACCCTCTGTTGAGTTTTTCACCTGTCTGTATTTGTGTAATGAGATTTACACTCTCTGTGAGCCCTGATGACCATTGTCATAGAGACAAAATATAGGGATATACAGGATTTTAGAGTCCTCACCTGAGCAAGAGGTGATGGAATATCAAGCAATGGGGACATGTTGTTCCTGTCAAAGATGGTAATGTGGTTGTCTTTGGAAAGATTTTATATTATATTCTGTTGGGTGTCCAGGACAGAAAGTGAAGGTAAATTTCTATAGTGGGACACAGGTTACCAGAAAATAAACTGATAGGGTGTTTTACCCCTTCCTGCACTTTATCCTGGGGAGAAAACAATCTCCACACAAATAATTTACGTACTAGATTTAATAAAGTAAAGTGCGCATTTAATTCTCCGGAGATACCAGAAATTATGTAAAACAGGAATTTGAGATTCTGAGATGTTTCACTGGATGGTGAGTCGAGGGCTAAACGTCCACTGTGCTTAATTATCAGACAGAGTCAAGTCATCGTGAATGAAATGAAAGCAGTGGAATATTCAGACAGACACAATAGGCTGTAGATGCACATGTAGGCCGCAGTCCCAGGAGAAGTAGTCTGCGCACGTTGCTATGGTAACCACTTTGATTAAATATGACACTAAATCATTTTTTGGAGGAGAAGAGATTAATTATCCTTTAAACACATTCCTTCATCTGTATGTAAATAAATCTGACTTAAAAGGCTAATAACCGACTGAAATTGTTTTCTATGAGGGGAAATAGCGGGGAGAGGCAGTGATATTCTGTCACAGTCTGTGATTATTCTGGAAGGAGGGTAGACTCATTGAACTTTTCTGATAAACAAAAAAAAAGTTCCTAAAAGAAACCTGTCGTGAAGCAAGTACCTGTCAGAGAAGACTCCAGTGGAAGCTGCCATCATGAGAGCATCATGGTAGGCAAAGCTTCAGTCCAATTTTAACATTTACCTAAACTCAGAAAAAAAAATGTCACCTCAGCCCCACCATGTGGTCCCCTACCTAAAATGAAGTGTGAGACCTCTTAAAGTAGAAAGTAAAGTGATATTAAAGGTTTTCTTTTTTCCTTAAAATACAATCCCAATTCGAAAAAAGTTGGGACAATGTGTAAAATCTATGTCAAAACAGATTGCAATGATTTGAAAATCTCATAAACTCATAGAAAACACCAAATGTTTAAATTGAGACTATGTATCATTTTAGGGAAAAAATAAGGCATTTTTGAGATTGCTGGCAGCAATACTTTTCACAGTTGGGACAGGGCAACATAAAGCTGGCAAAGTACAAACCCAATTCCAAAAAGGATGGGACATGGCCTTGTTTACCATGGTGTGGCATCCCCTCTTCTTTTAACAACACTTTCTAAATGTTTGGGAACTGAGGAGACTAGTTGCTGGAGTTTTGAAAGAGGAATGTTGTTGCATTCTTGCCTGAGCATATGCTGCTCTAAAACCTGGATATACACTATATTGCCAAAAGTATTGGGACTCACCTCCAAGTCATTAGATTAATTTGTTCCAATCACCTTCTTGGCCACATGTGTATAAAATCAAGCCCCTAGGCATGCAGACTGCTTCTGCAAACATTTGTGAAAAAATGGGTTGCCCTCAGGAGTTCATTGAATTCAAGTGTGGTACCGTGATAGGTTGCCACCTGTGCAATAAGTCCATCCGTGAAATTTCCTTGCTATTTAATATCCCATAGTCAACTGTAAATGGTATTATAACAAAGTGGAAGCAACTGGGAACAACAGCAACTTAGCCACCAAGTGGTAGGCCACATAAAATGACAGAGCGGGATCAGCACATGCTGAAATGTACAGTGTGCAGAAGTCACCAACTGTCTGCAGAGTCAATAGCTAAAGACCTCCAAACTTTTTGTGGCCTTCAGCTTAGCACAACAACAGTGCGCACAGAGCTTCATGAAATGGGTTTCCATGGCCGAGCAGCTGCATCCAAGCATTACATCACTGCGTGCAATGCCAAGTATCAGATGCAGTGGTGTAAAGTAAGCCACCCCTGAACTCTGGAGCAGTGGAGACGTGTTCTCTGGAGTGACAAATCATGCTTCTCTGTCTGGCAATCCAATGGACGTGTCTGGGTTTGGTGGTTGCCAGGAAAATGGTACTTGCCTGAATGCATTGTGCTAAGTGTAAAATCTGGTGGAGGGGGGATTATGGTGTGGGGTTGTTGTTTAGGGGTTGGGCTTGGCCCCTTAGTTCCAGTGAAGGCGTCAGCATACCAAGACATTTCGGACAAGTTCATGCTCCCAACTTTGTGGGAACAGTTTGGGGATGGCCCCTTCCTGTTCCAACATGACTGCACACCAGTGCACAAAGAAAGGTCCATAAAAACATGGATGAGCAAGTTTGGAATGGAGGAACATGACTGGCCTGCACAGAGTCCTGACCTCAACCCGATAGAACACCTTTGGGATGAATTAGAGTGAAGACTGTGAGCCAGACCTTCTCGTCCGACATCAGTGCCTGACCTCACAAATGCGTTTTTGGAAGAATGGTCAAACATTCCCATAGACACCCTCCTAAACCTTGTGGACAGTATTCACAGAAGAGTTGAAGCTGTTATAGCTGCAAAGGGCGGGCCAACTCAATATTGACCCCTACGGACTAAGACTGGGATGCCATAAAAGATCATGTCCATGTAAAGGCAGGCATCCCAATACTTTTTGGCAATTCAGTGTATCTTTCAGCATTGATGAGCCTTTCCAGATGTGCAAGCTGCTCATTCCATGCACACTCATGCTCCCCCATACCATCAGAGATACAGGCTTTTGAACCGAGTGCTGATAACAGGCCAGAAGGTCCCCCTTATTCTGGAGGCTGTGGCACCTATGATTGCCAAGTTGTGTGCATACATAGACACACAAAGTGCAGCTGGACCCTGCACCCCCCACTTCCTCTTCACAGGATTTGACTGACAGGAGCAGAAGCAAATGGCTCCCACTGCTGCCTCAGTCCCCTGAAAGACTAGGAAGAGGGGAGAGATGAGATGCAGCTGGGCGCAGCACTGGACCGAGAGA